GCATAGGATAAACATGAACATTATATGAGAAGTGCCCTGGCAGTAGATTGGAGCCAGAGATAAGACATAAACAGAGAAGGGAAGCCTAGAAAGATAAAACTAGTAAATTTTTTGCATTTTCATCTGTATTGCCTTATACAACAGGGTTAATTTTGGAGTGTGTTCATTTTCTATTGCTTCCAATTTGTTTCTTTGTCCTTCATAATGGTTTCCATTTGGAAGACATGTTTCCTTTCCAAGAAAATGTAGACAGATATACCATATCTGATTTTTAGATAAATCTCCCATCTCCACTAAGGCTCTTTTTCACTGTTAAAGTGATAAGTGCATGGGAATTTCCGGTATCTATTAGTTTGTTCAAGCAACAAGTTAATTATTTAGGCCAAAATGTATGCTATTTTGAGGCAGAGAAAGGAAGAATACATAGACATATGAGTTGAAACTAATTATTTTGTTTCAACTCATTTCATCTTAATACTTAATAAAATATGTTTTGTCCCTGAAATTATTCAGTGCTAATCATCCATTTCTGCTAAGGTTTTGTGAAAATTGCTTATATCCATCTCTATATAACACTGCATCCTAAAATGGTAGCAGCAAATGTGCGAGAATTCAATTGCTCATAGCAACTGTATTTTGGGAGCACAAGTAACTGCTTAATATGGATTGATACCGTTATTCTAACTTAGTTCCATATTTTTTATCACAAAGGACCCAGATTCTCCAGCTATTTCTCAGGTAATAGGACACATACCTAGGTTTTGGTAAAGCATGATTGAGCCACAATTGCATCTGTTAACTTGCCCAGTACCGAGTGTCATGAATAGATAGAATCTAGCTTTTCTTTAACAGAAAATCTCTTCCCGATAATCCCATTTATACTATACCACAGGTGAATATGAAATTGTATATTTAACATTTATATTTAACAGTCATTAGAAAGATGAATTTGTCCTCCAAATAATTTCTGATTTTCTTGATAGACTAAAGACATCCTTGATAGAATTTCTTTTTAATTTACTCTCCCCAAGGAGGCTAACTTTCAATTATCCTTCAATTACATTTTCTGTAATGAATGATGATTATATACTGAATATTAAGAATATTAACTGTATTAATAAATAATTAGGTTAACTGCATTGATTTTTTTTATGAATTCTAATTCTGTAAATGATGTCTCATTTTTCCTACATTCCTTATTTCCTTAAAAAAAAACCTCCTTTTTACATGTAGAGATTTAACTTCATTGATTTAATATGGAATTTATTATTAAAACTTTTTCATATCAAAGACAGCAAGATTATTATATTATTTATTTATTTATTGTTTCTATTCTGTTGTGATGTATTGATTCTCCATCATACAATTACAAGGTGAGATTCAGGAATCTGAAATTTTCTGGGTGTTGGCTAGTGGATTCCAAGCCATGTTTCTCTCTGTTTTTTCTAGGGCTGGGATGTAGGAGAATAACTTGATGTACAGGTTAGAAATTCATCTTAGTAATACATATCCTGGCCTTTTCTGAATGTACATATGCAGGAAAATGGGATATGCTATTGTAGCATTGCTGTACCGCCATCATTTTGCAAAATAAAATTCTTCAGTTATTTTCTCTGTCTTTTCCTCATGAACTGCTATATGTATAAAAATATTCCTAAGAAATATTTCATCTAAAGTGATAGGAATGAAGAGGGGAATGTTCATTCACACCAGCAAGGACACTGAGTATGCATATATAGAGAAATCCACCCACAAACCCATCTTGCAAGTACATATACCAAAAAACCACAAACCCAACTTGCAAATAAATGTAAAGAAATGCTACACACGTACTGTCAATCATCTAAGGAACATACATGTTGGACTTAAATGAATTAACATAATATACTATAAAAATGGGAAGGAGAAATAGGAAAGATGCAAGAAACAGTGGGAAACCCAAAGAACATTGTTACTTCCATATCACCATTTCTCCTCCCTCGTCTCTAAAAGATTTGTAAACCAGTGCTCCAGACTTCAATACTGTGACAATAGCAATAGCATATAGACTTATATACTGCTTCACAGTGCTTTACAGCCCTCTCTAAGAGGTTTAGAGTCAGCATATTGCCCCTAGTAATCTGGGACAATAATTATTCTTCATAGGTTTGTTAGTTCAGTGCAAATGGTTATCATTTAGGGAGGATGGGAAATACCCAAATTTATCAGACCACTACCTTAATACTACTTAGTTGTGCTTCAAAGATCTGAAACAATCAACTTCTATGGGAAGTGATTAGCTTGAGCTCAGGAGCCAGGATGGACAGGTTCCTGTCACAATTGACCTGGAAAAATTGATTCATTTGTTGAACCCAGAGAATGAGATGAGAGTACATGGGTACTGTATGTCTCTATGACTGTACTAGTACCAAGGCAGTATGTGGAAATCTTAACCATGCCTGGGTTTGCATAATGGTTAATGCTAGTTGGAGGAACTTGCTCCCACTGGAAAGGAAAACGTCAATGCGTGTAGCATTTCTCTATCTTGTACATAAAGTTAAGGGACTGGAAACAATACATCCACACTGGCCAAAAACAATTTAGTCCAAATATAAAACAGACCTGGCAAAGTACCATATAGAGATAGAGAAATAAATATCTCAGTAACTAGTGAGACATTTGCTCCCCTCTCAAACTGATACATTTTTGGACAGAAAATGAAGCCACACAGTGTTTGTTCTCAGCAGTGGTTGAGAAAAAAAGCTTGCATCAAAATATCTATGTTGATGAAAATAAAAGACTCTAGAAATCAACCATTGTGTGGCCATTCAACATGTTGCCTATGGTTTATCTTACATGTGTGCCCAGTTTAAGTAAAGCTTTACACTTTACACCTTACACTTCAAGGCTTCCAAACTGCCCTACTGGGTTTGCTTCCCAGGCTTTTCCTTCTATCTGTTATTTGAACTAGATTTTCACATCCATTCTAGATATCGAGCCATTTCATTCGTGATTAAAAAAAGAAGTGAACAAATACAAAAATGTCAAAAGTAGGAGAAAAAGGAAGGGTGTGTGTCGTCAACAGCAACTGTGGTTTCTACTAGTTGGTATCTTTATAAAATGTCATCTGATCACTGTAACTTAGTTTTCATGAATGTCAGGATTAAGTGATGCCTCCTGAAGAGAATAGAGTCTCTTCTACGCATCCAATGTGTCTACTTAAAGAGGACTATGATCTGCCTGCTAAATTTTCTCACTAGTCTTAAAATGGAGATTAAAACGGAGATATAAGATATAATAACAAAGCAGAAAGATATTGATAACGAAATTACACAATGGCATGTAACATTTAAAAAAAAAACCTTACACAGTATAGGCCAATAAATACAACCTTGCCTAATTTTGTGCCCTCCAGACTGGTATAATTCCAAAGGCCATTTTTGGCATCCGATCCAGCAATGAAGACAATTATAGTCCACCTCAACTTGGAGAACAAGCAGATTGTGAAAGGCAACTCTCAGACACAATGAACTTCTCCTTGGATTATCTTAAGACAGAGCAACACTTAACGGAACACTTTGTAGTTCTTAAAATCATAATGAGGGGGAACACTCCACTGCAATTCTCACCATACTTTAGAACAAACTGTACCATAGCTCTTCTCAGATGATTTTATAGCCTGATTGAGAAATGTAATTCTTATCAGAATTACTGCTGACATCACCAAAACTGCTACAATCTATGCCTTTTATTTAACAGAAGAATAGTAACAGAAGTTTTGGTTCATGTAAGAAAAGCTGATAGCCTGGCTTATTTCCCCATCAGCATTTCCTGATTTTCCAGAGAGAGTCAAGTTATGAGTTTCTACGAAAGATACTTATCTTCTGATGTTCCTGGGAAATTCAGAACGTATATACAATGTAGATATCTCTAACCAAAAATAACATTATCAGAGATCTCATATGAGTTTACTATTCCAACTTATACTTAAGAAATGAAAAAAAGAACATTTTTTTTTCAAAATCATGTGTCTTTTTTAAAAAATAGTCTATTTTTTATTGACTGCATAGTTTGGTGTCTTGCATTCAAAAACATGAATAACATTAATAGCTTTAAAAAAAAACCTCCAAACCCAGAAAGAAGGAAAGATCATTCACAGATTTATCCCTGCTAAAATAAGAAAAGCTATCTGAAGTAAAAGTTGTTAATTATTAGATTTGTTGATCACTTATTGAATAGAACAATGCCTTTTCCTAAACTAAGCAATGAGTTTGCTTTTTAGAACTTCCATTAAAGAATTACACCCATTTTGTCACACTTAGATTGTTGGTGATTACACTTCAAATCCATATTGTTCAAATTCAGTTTTCAGAATAAAGGAAGAGGTTTTTTTAAAAAAAGAGTATAGGAAAAGGAAACAGAAGTACTTCTATCCTCTTTTAGTTCTCTCTTCCTTCACTGCCCAAATGGATTACCCAATAGCCCTAAAGAAAGGCTGTGGCAAAAAAAAATTAAAAATCTTCCTTTATTTGTTTCCTAAGTTGGTAGCATATGGCAATTATTATGCTATGTAATACCACTATGCTGTTTATGCTGCAGAACAGATTATGTGCTGGTTAACATGCCAATTAAAGGATGTAATTCTGTTGCAGCTTGTAAAATGTAGGCTTCATCCAAAGCAAGTTTACTTTTTAAAAAAAATATTAACTGAAAAGACATATTCCTATTATATATATAAAATGTGATTTATGTAGACCTGGGATCCCAAAAAAATATTTCTGGCTACTCATTCAAGTGGATATTTTCCACTCACTCCATCAGATTAATAGTTTTTGAACCATTCAAAAAGATGGTTTCTCATATTCATGAAAAAACTAGTTGACAATCCTGCTTGAATTTTGAAACTGTACTTTTGCCAAATTATTTGAAAGGTGTATTCCTTTGGTATATATTAGGATACATATTCACGGTTATTGAAACATTAGTGTGGATAAATATTATCAAACATCAGGGATACCTACCGTGTAGCAAGTTTATGGCAAGTCACACCAGTATCAGTTATGACTTCACTTAGCCTCAATTCTAGATGGACTTTTCCCTGAAAAGTAAAATTGCAAAAAAAATAAGACTATATGTATACAAATGTGATTGATAAAAAATACAAAAATATTGAGGTTATTGATGGATAATATGAAATCTTGCAATCCAGCATCAATCAGCCTATCAAATAAATAATGAAAGGAGGGAAATCAACAGAGATATAGTTTCAAGACAAATAATCATGCTACTTCAGTTCAACAGTTTAAATAAAAAAATGTGATTATATATGCCTCTAAATTGCTGTAAATTAAATATGTATTAAATGTTTACATATATATATACTGTAAATTAATTATAAATTATTAAATATATGCCTCTAAATTGCCCATAAAGAATTAAGAATAAATGACACTCATGTTCATGATCAGGAAACGCCCATAATCCATACTGAGCCAATTATCATCTCAAGCAAACAAATTAAACATCCAGAAACAGAGCACAAAGAATAGACTTTAAAAATTTGATTTTATATCTCCAAAAATGGAAAACAACTACAGCATGTGCTTATTTCTTCTTCCCTGCAAAATCCCAGACAGTGTTTGATGCAATATAATATTGCTTCTCTGCACAACCTAGACCAGAGCCTAATCTGCATGACTAGAAATTCTCCATCCAAGAACATTGTCATCTACGGACAAATTGGGGAGTTTTATCTATGTTCTCTGATGAAAACTTTTTGGAAATTTTCCCCTAACATTAAGTACATAATGTACATTGTGAGAACAGTTTCTAAAGGTAGTTTATCTCAGAGAAATGGATAGCATATTTTCTATGTTTTTCAGCCTGGAAAAAAGTCTATTTGGTTACCTATAAAAGAGTTTATTTCACAACTTCCATCCCCCGTATGTTATGAAACACTATCATGTATATATGAGTTTACCGTTGATTTAGCAAAATCCTTTGTGAGACCCGACAGGAATAAAAACCGCAGCATGAAAATGTCAAGCACTAGGGGAAAACTACGAAACTAGCCATCAAAATAAATTTTCAAAAGCCTACTAACAGTCATCAAGCATGAGACATGATGGTACAGAATATTAAAAAGCACTTTTTTCAAAACACCTTCCTTTTCAAAATAAGAAAAGGGAAGTACTATTATTACTCATATATAACAATTATAAATAGGCCTGCATTTTAAACAGCTGGGCTAAACAGATTTCAGTTTTAGTAGATTTTAAATGCACCTTTTTTCCTCCAAAAGTCACAAGCAGCCAGCAACACCTATCTGACTTTAACTCATCTTAGAAAAGCTAAATTGGGTCAAACATAGTTAGGAGATGGATCAGAAATTACTGTTCTGGGAAATCCCAAAACACTTAAATTGAAAAACAAATATTTTGGAAGCAGACAGTGAACAATTTGGAATACAACATAGATACAACCATCTAGTCAATGGAACTCAAGTTTTATTCAAGTGTGACTTTACTTATTTTTTCAAAACAGGTAGCTTTTTTAAAAAATTAAAACTTCTCAAAAAAAATAAATATAATCCAGACATATGTGAAAAGGGAGTGGGGGTTTATTGGATGTTCTTTGGGATTATAGTCTTGTAAACTGCATAGAATCACTGTGAGTTGAGCCATATACATTTTGTTAATAAATAATAAAATAAAATAAATCAGATATTGCTAATTAGAAAACAATATTTCCCATCAAAATAACAACTAGATGCCATGTCCCACATTTAGGAAACTCTGATGTCCATCATGCTGCATCTTCTCCATCTCTATCATCAATTGTTGCCAATAACTTGGGAAGATGAAGAAATGCAGAATATCAGGAATAAGGAATCTGTATTTGGTTGTTGTTATCTGTTAAGCATAAACTTTTCTCCTTGTACAGAAATGTCTGAAGGGTTGTCAAAAAAGTAAAGATGGTATCTGCAATAGGACAATTGAAGTTCCATCATGTTTTTAGGTGCCCCACAGCTGCCGTCTTGAGTTTGACAATCTCCTCTGGACATTCCTTGTATAAATAAATGTAATTACAAGGAAGATAAAAGGATAAATGCAATGCTTTCCCATCTCCATTCCATCTCTGTGGGGGTAGAAGGGCAGCACTTTTCACCAGAGACCTTTTTGTGAAGACTATCTGCACGCAGCCCTCAGTTATGACCATAATTGGGACCAGAATTTCCATCATTAAACAAATGGTCTTCAGACAAGCATTTCATGATTGCACTAAAGGAAAGTGAGATGGGCAGATGGATTGAGTTCAAGTACATGATGAAGTTGTAAATGTGGGTGGGCTGCCAAGAGTCCAAATTTTGATCACATGGTAATTGGGATACTGCAATGGCTGTAACTTTGAGGAACAACGTACACAACTATTTCCTTTACTTTTTCCCTATGTACACCTGCCGTAAAAGAATAATGCAAAAATAATATTTGGAGAGAGGATTCAACTTTAACATAATCTGAATCTTTGTGCTTCTGCAGACTGCTAGCAATGCTATGTTGAGAGGACAATTGCAAACAATTACTCAGGCATTTCAAGGGTTCAAAACATTATTACACTTTTAAAAAGTAATCTACGCTATAACCTTCTGAGATGGATATGGTAGACATTTCACTTTCAAAAACATGCAATTGGAGCCTTGCTTTTGGTTGTGCACATCATTATTGCAGGGTGAAATACTTCAGGATTCCATGTTAATTCCAGAACATGCCAAGTAAACTGGATTTTTTGAGAGTTAAGCTTCCAGAACAATTGTAATTTGGGGTGTTCTGGAAGTGGTCCAATCCTAAAACAGCCAGGGGTTCAACTTTAGTTAAAAGCCATTTTAAGTAAGCCTGTGAATCGCAGCCTAGATAGCTTCACCCCCCACTGTCCCTGCCTGGCTTCCCTATTGCTTTCCACGTGGCCCGCAACTCTGCCATACTTCCCTGTCTTCCCCGCAGCTTTCCTGGCGGTCCTTGTTGCCAGGCCCGCTGCCCACGCTCACCTAGAGAACCTTGCCCTGGCCTCAAACTACACCCTACCCCCCCCCAGGCTGAAGCAATTTACCCAGTCTGCGGGCTGCCACACTTGGCCGAAGGGCCAGGGGGGAAGCACTGGTGGGGGGGAAGCGCCGAAGCAATTTGGTTCATGAGCACATGGGTAAGGGGTAGGGGCAGGGGTGTCATGAACACATTGCATTAGGGATGCAGGCGCACATGCATGTTGCTCCATGTGCACGCTTATTTTTGGCACACAACAACAAAAAGCTATTACTGCACTAAACCAATGCTGAAAAAGACGTCAACCAATAATTATTTCAAAATGGTTGATTAACTGAACTTACTTGCCCTTTCCCAACAACATTATGGTTTTAGCAAACCAGTATATTCTGCCCCTTGAAATTGACCCTGTTTGTTGATCTTTTGAAGAAATTTGGTGCCAACAAGGCAGCTGACAGTGGAGATTAACTGGCTAGGCTTCTTTGAATTACTGTTAAAACCACTGTGTCAAATCTTGCTTAAGGGGATGTTTTATTGTAGCTTAAGAGGCCTGAAACCAGACTAGTGAGTCATGACCATGACAATGTGAGGTTCTTGTAAGCACATGTTCTGTGCTGTCTGAAAAAAAAAATCAAATGAATTGGGGGAAAAGATTGAAAGTAAAAGGAACAACATTACGAGGTCAGATAAACTCTGCTGGAGGCCGGAAATTTTAGTTTTTATTTCATTGAGGCAAAACAACAAGCGGAAATGAATGAGACGAGGGCAATTTAGTGATTACACGGTTAATTAAATGATCTCAAAGAGAATATACTCCTTGGATTTAAAAAAAAGATGCCAACTTTTGACTTAACTTGCTTATCTACTTGCTAGTATTATATCCCATATTTTCTTAAGGAGCTCAAGCAACACACACACCCCTTAATACTGTGACACATATGCTTCTTAAAGAGTGATGGCCCATAGTTACCGAGAAAGCTTCCATGCATCTCCTTTGTCTTGCTCCAATTCCCTAATTTCTGAACTAGAGTGTAATTGCTGCCATAAATCACCAGCATAAAACACTCAAGATTTCTCATTCTGAAAGAATATAATTAAGTCTGAATATACTAGGTAGTTTATTTCTGCAATACATTTCCCCCCCTCCCCTCAAAACTTTAAGTTTGGTGCTTCTTTTATGGGGCAGAGGGAGAAAGGGCGTATGTACTCTTTGCATTGTGATGCTAATCCTGCTTCCCTGCCTTTAATTTTCTAATCTATTTACTAAAATAAGGCATCTATTAAATTAGTAACCTACCACTGACATACCTCGCTGTCTCTCTCCTCTCTTGTAAATTTAAATAGATTTAATTTGCTAGTCATTTATTCAATTTGCAATGCACAGTTTCATTCAAAGGCCATAGAAGCAATTAAAGTGGGTCACTGGCTGCTTTATCTCACACAGGAAAAAATGTGGAGACTCCAATATTGATTTGCAAGGCAAACTGTTCCAGTGCATTCAGATGAAGCTGCATGTGTTTGTGTTGTAAACTCTGTCAAAGTACATTTCTGGAACTTTACTAAACAACAAAAATATTTTCAGACTTCCTCACTCTAATCACATGATTGGCTACTAATATAAATTTGTCCACAGCTGCTTGGATTGGATAGAATCCACTGTAAGTACATAGGAATACATTAGCACAGTGTTTCTCAACCTTGGCAACTTGAAGATGTCCGGACTTCAACTCCCAGAATTCCCCAGCCAGCATTCGCTGGCTGGGGAATTCTGGGAGTTGAAGTCCGGACATCTTCAAGTTGCCAAGGTTGAGAAACACTGCATTAGCATACTGAACCAAACTGAATAGGTTCAAAAACAGGAGCAGAGCATTCTAATTAATTTCAGTTAGTAGGTTTGAATGCTGCAAAGGTTCAAGGGTTCCTAAGCACAGCATGTTTATAATGTAACAATTTTTTACAGTTGAACAGGCATGCAATAATTTTTTTATTTCTTTAGGAATAGAGAAACAAGAGCTGCAAAAAAAAAAAACCCCAATTGTTTATTAGAGGAAATAGTCAC